AATGTTATCCCCTAGCAGATCTTCATCATATAAACAAGAAAAGTAAGTGAGCTTAACTCTAGCCTGAAGAGCCAGTGGGGCCCCAGAGTCTAAGGAAATTTAACTGCTTCCTGCCTGGTGAATGATGTTGCAAGACTTTTACAGAGGTACTTTTCAGTTAAAGTGCTTAAAGGGAAACTAGCTTATTTACAGAGATAAGGATCAGTCTTCACGCTGGCCTACCTTGACACGCCCAAATCAGATACACTCCAGGAGGCATTAAAAAGAATAAAAATAATTGCCAAACTTCTTTGAAAGCATTGTAGGCTATATGCTTGAAGCCTTCTCTCTCCTGATACTTACTAGCTGTGACCACAGGCAAGCACTTGACCTCTAGGGCATCTCTGTTTCCTCATTTGGAAAACTGGAGCAATAAGATCTATAGTACCTACGTCAAAAGATTGTAATGAGGCTCCATGAGATAATATTTTGCAAACTTTAAAGTACTATAAAAATGTCAGTTAATACGATTATTCTCTAAGACTACCAACACTCACAATCCTCCCACCTCTGTCTTAGTCACTCTGTCTCTCTGTCTCTATCTCTCTGTCTCTGTCTCTCTCTGTCTTCCTGTCTCTCTCTGTGTCTCTGTCTCTGTCTCTCCACTCTACCTGTTCGAAGGCATTTCCCCCAGTTTTTCTTCCCTCCTGTCACAATCCACCTTTGATCATACTTATTTGTGCACATGGATTGTCTTCTTCAAAGTCTTCTTTTCCTTCAGGGTCCATTCAGGTGCTACTTCTTTCAGGAAACCTTCCCTATTTCCCAGCCCTACTCCCCTTCACCTAAAAGTAATCTCTCCTTACCCACGTTTACATATTGTCTCATTAATCCTATTTATTTGTGTGCATGTCATATCCCCAATACTAATAAACTCCTTCAGGGGAAGGACCATGTTATTTTTTCATCTTTGCATTCCCAGGACCTAGCTCAGGGCCTGACCTAAGGTAGTCACTTAGTTAATGTTGAACTGAATCTATGTTGTGTCAGAGGCAAGGAAGGCACTTCCTACTATGTACTATGAGGGGGAAAGGGTTGGTTTATTGGACTAATACAAAAGAGTCAATAATGGCTTTCACGGCCTGAGATATTTCTCTGTGGTTGGGCAGGGCCAATCAAAGCTAGCTTACAGAAAGGCAGGACTGGCTGTGAATGGACTAGTTTTCTAAATATACTGTAAGGCAGTGGTATGAAATTCAAATACCATACATAAGGGTCACTGCAGGCAGCACATTGACTTAGTTTTAAAATGTAATGCTACCTATGTTTTATTTTATTTTTATTTGTTTTCTCATGTATCTCTCAATTACATTTAAATCTGGTTTAGGCCACTCTAGGGAATGTTCTGGGCACTGTTCAGCTGCAAGTTTGTTGTTTTTCATCCTTCATTTTTAAAAAATAATTAATCTATTTATTTTTCATTTTCAACATTTACTTCCATAAGATTTTGAGTTTAATTTTCTCTCCCATCCATACCTTCCCCCTCCCCAAGAGAGCATGAAATCTGATATAGCTCTACTTATACCTTCATATTATACCTTATACCTTCATACATATACCTTCATATTTTCACATTAATCATGATGTAAAAAAGAATTAAAACTAATGGCAGGAACCACAAGAAAGAAGAAACAAAACAACAAAAGAAAAGCAGAGCAAATAATATGCTTCCATCTGCATTCAGACTCCAAAGTTCTTTCTCTAGATGTGGATAGAATTTTCCATCATGAGTCTTTTGGAGTTGTCTTAGATCCTTGCATTACTGAGAAGACCTAAGTCTTTCAAGGTCAGATATCACACAATGTAGCCGTTATGTTCTCCTAGTTCTGCTCATTTCACTCAGTATCAGTTCATATAAGTCTTTCCAGGTTTTTCTGAAGTCTGCCTGTTCATTATAGCACAATAGTATTCCATTACATTCATATACCACAACTTGTTCAGCCATTCCCTAATTGATGGGCATCCCCTCAATTTCCAATTCTTTGCCGCCACAAAAAGAGCTGCTATAAATATTTTTGTACATGTGGGTCCTTTCCCCTTTTTTTATGATTTCTTTGGGATACAGACCTAGAAGTGGTATTGCTGGGTCAAAGAGTATGCACAACTTTATAGCCCTTTGAGCATAGTTCCAGATGGCTCTCCAAAATCGTTGGATCATTTCACAGCTCCACCAACAATGTATTAGTGTTCCAATCTTCCCACATCTTCTCCAGCATTCATCATTATGCAATGTAATATGGACCATTTTGATTACATTAAATTGAAAAGGTTTTGCACAAATAAAGCCAATGCTTTATTTGCAAGATTAGGAGGGAAGCAGAAAACTGGGAAAGAATTTTTACAACCAGTGTCTCTGATAAAGGTCTCATTTCTAAAATATATAGAGAACTGAATCAAATTTATAGGAATACAAGTCATCACCTAATTGATAAATTAACAAAGGATATGAACAAGTAGTTCTCAGAGGAAGAAACTAATGTTATCTATAGTCATATGAAAAAATGTTCTAAATCCCTATTGATTAGAGAAAGGCAAATCAAAATGACTCTGAGGTACCATATCAGATTGGCTAACATGACAAAACAGGACAAAATGTTGGAGAAGATGTAGGAAAAAAGTATCAGTATTTATATCTAAATCATGTACCCATTTTGACTTTATCTTGGTATAGGGTGTAAGATATTGATCTATGCCTAGTTTCTACCACACTATTTTCCAGTTTTCCCAGCAGTTTTTGTTAAATAGTGAGTTCTTATCCCAAAAGCTGGAGTCTTTGGATTTATCAAATAATAGATTACTATAGTCAATGACTGTTGTGTCTTACTTAACCTATTCCACTGATCCACCACTCTATTTCTTAACCTCTACCAAGTAGTTTTGATGATTGCTGCTTTATAATATAACTTAAGATCTGGTACAGGTAGGCCACCTTCCCTTGCATTTCTTTTCATTAATTCTCTTGATATTCTGGACCTTTTGTTCGTCCAGATGAATTTTGTTATTGTTTTTTCTAGCTCTATAAAATAATTTTTGGTAGTTTGATTGGTATGGCACTGAATAAGTAATTTAATTTAGGTATACCATCCTTCATTTTCTAAAAGAATCAATGATATCACAGGGTGATGTCTTGACTTACATGTAAATTGGATTTAAGTGAGGCAGAGTTGCACAAAGTCATCAGCCTCACTCTATCTTCCAGAGTCATTGAAATCCAGTGGCAGGGTAAAAGTCCAAGATGACTGGCGATGATCCAGGATCCAGTGGATGACTTTGGCATCTTCGATGTCTGATCAAGTTCTAAGGATTCCATAGCACCTGCTTCAGTTATCTTCATGGCTGTTAGAACAAATTGTTCTCATCCACCCATTCCACTGGGGGAACTCTTCATATGCTTGGGGTAAACATCTCCCTAACTCACTGACAGGTTTGAGACCTGTCAATTACCCTCAACCTGGTTTAGCTCATCTGCCAGGACACTTTTATCAGGGTATAGCTGCTACACATGCTATAGCTTCTTGGAGTCACAGCCACAATTTTGATTGTATAAAATTAAAAAGTTTTTGAACAAGCAAAACCAATGCAGCTAAAATTTGAAAGGAAACAAGCAAGTGGAAAAAAAATCTTTGCAGTAAATTTTGCTGATAAGGGTCTCATTTCCAAGATATATAAGGAACTGATTCAAATCCGTAAGAGTAAAAGCCACACCATTCTGGAGAACAATTTGAAGCTAAACCCAAAGGGCTATAAAATTGTGTATACCCTTTGATCCAGCAATACCACTACTAGCTCTGTATCCCAAAGAGATCAAAGAAAAAAGGGGAGGAGAAGGATCTCTCTGTCCAAGAACATTTATAGCAGCTCTTTTTGTGGTGGCACAAAAGAATTGAAATTTGAGGGGATGCCCATCTACTAGGGAATGGCTAAACAAGTTGTAATGTATGATTATGATGAAATACTATTGTGCTATAAGAAATGACAAACATGATAATTTCAGAAAAACAATGGAAGTCTTATATGAACTGATACAAAGTGAAATGAGCAGAACCAGGAAAATATTGTACACAGTAACAGCAATATTGTAACAATGATCAACTGTATAAGACTTAGCTACTCTGATCAAGACAATTCCAAAGAGATACATGATGAAAAATGCTATCCACCTCCAGAGAGAGAACTGATGAACTCTGAGTGTAGATTGAAGCATACTCTCCCAACTTTTTAAATTTTTCTTTTTTTGTGTGTGTGGATGTGTTTTCTTTAACAACATAGCAAATACGGAAATATGTTTTGTATGACTTCACATCAATCAGTATCATATTGCTTGCCTTCTCAAGGGGTGGGGGAAGGGCAGAAGGGAGGAGGAGAATTTGAAACTCAATATTGTGTTAAATGAATTTTTAAAATGTTTCAAAATATAATTGGGAAATATTTAATGAAACAAAATACATACTTCAAAATAATAAACATATGGTCCAGCCCACAAAAAAAGAAAGTAAGAGCCATAGTCAAATGATATGAAGTATCAGTTTTCTAAGGGAGATATCCAAGCTATCAATAGCAAAGAAAGCATGTACTTGCATCAGGTATAAAGAATCACAGGAAGGGCTAAGCTCACTGGGGTAAGATCACCCCACTGTTCCCAAAACCTTCCTGTGCATTCATAGCTCTAAACTCTCCAAAGCAGAGCAGTTGGACATGTCAAATACTGAGGCTTTGAAAAGCTGCTGTAAACAGCTAGAACAGGGGTGGGGAACCTGCATGGCCCTCTAGGTCCTAAAGTGCGGCCCTTTGACTGAATCCAAACTTCATGTGTGGCCTTGAGGCCGCAGGTTCTCTACTCCTGAAGAAGGTAGATAGTACATCTCATTCATATTTGGATTCCCAGTACTGAGTCTAGGGCTAAAGACAGAGGTAGTGTTCCAAAGGTATTTATGGATGAAAGAAAAAAAAGAGACCTCAGATATTCTCATCCTGTTATTTTTAATGGCAATTAAGACTCCATCAGGAAAACAAGAACACATACCAAATAAAAGCATTCTTTTCCTACTAGATCTTTCTGCAATCTTCCTAAACAACTTTCTGAGCTCCAGGAATTTCCCATACTTGGTAATATAGGCCCTATCTGTCCAGAAATATTTCCCCTGCTGTCCCTGAACACAGTGTCTAACATGCCCCCATTAGAGTCACCAGGGTAAGCTAGTTTTCTCTTGAAAACTAAATATCTTATTTCAGAAAGGTGACATACCCACTCACTTGAACAGAGACTAGATCCTGGGGGGAAATGTCATGGGACAGGTCCCTTTCGATGGGTGAGGAACAAGAGGAGGGGGTTGAAAAAATTCTGGATCCTGCAGGAAAGGGAGAATAAATTGGAGCTTTGGGCAACCAGTGAATCAACCACAAGTATATACACAAGTAAAGGGGCATATGCTGAATAATTGACATAAAACTTCCTATTTCATTGTCACGAGGGTTCTTATAGAGCTTTCACCTCTTTTAGTCTCACATGAGAGGATCGGGAAAAGAGTCTCCTAAGATGGGTAGGTATGGATGGTTGAAAGCTGTGTCTTTGGAGAGAACATCTGAATAGATGTGATCCTAGAACCACTGGAGAATTCCTTTTTTTTTTTTTTAAACAGAACCTGTGATTTCATTATTATGGGGAACTCCCAATAAAGTAACTTCCTCTACCAATGCAGATCAACAAATGCTGTGCAACTTTTAGTCTTAGAGTTTCCTAAAGACCGAGAGGTTAAATGACTTCCCTATGATCACACAGCCAATATATGTAAGAAACAGGACTTAACCACAAATCTTTCAGACTTGAAGGCCACCTTGCTATAGGCTATGCCACATTCCCTCTCTTCTCAGAGTACTAGAATCACAGTCTTAGGAAGTAAGCAGGACAGCAATTTATAGAGGAAAGAGTGTGGAACCTGGAGTGGGAAGTCCTCCATAGAGTCCCAACTCTGATACTTGTTAGTTCTGTGGTCTTTGAATCTCAGCTTTCCCATCTTTAAAATGGAAATAATGATATTTGCACTACCCTTCGAAGGTCTGTTACAAGAAAATACCTTTGTTAACCTTAAAGTGCCATAAAATGTGGATCACAATTGTCCTCATTTTGCACTGATTCTAAAATGTGACATGGTATAGTGGAAAGACCACTCCACTAAGACATTTTTGACCTTGACTCTATCCCCAATTCTGTTATGAATAACTGGCTGTGTGACATTGGAAAAAATCACTTAACCTCTTAGGGATATCAATTTCCTGCCTAGCTAAGACCACACAGCTCACTAGTGGCAAAGTCAGCACCAATGAAATCACATATCTGATAAAAAGGAAAAAAAAAATTAGGACTAGAAGCCCTGGAGGATACATATATAATCATGGGTAGATATGGAATAAGGCAATAGTGCATATCTTGCTAAGCCCAGCCTGAGCTCCCTTTGGAGAGGCAGGGGATTTCTGTGTGTCCAGCAGGATCAAAGAATCTCTACCCAAGTAGCTCTGCTTTTCAGATCCTATATGGTAGCAGAGGCAAGAACTTAGGAAATGCTGCATTCAACCTTCCCTGCCCCAGTCAAACTCTTTACCTTCTTCCAGCTAAAGATGCCATATCATAAAAGAGATATGCTCCTGGCTGTAGGACAGGACCAGACTTCTGAAAGAGCCCCTCCCCAAATATAATCCCTTTAATAGTCCCTTGGGAGACTGTCACAGTGCCCGAGATCTATGAACTCCCTGAGAGTAGGAAGCCTTTTCTCCCCCCCTTTTTTTGTATATATCTCCAGTGCTTAGCACAATGCCTGGCCCATAGTAGGTGCTTAATAAATGCTTATTGACTGACAATAATCATTTCTCACTTGAATACAGTATTTTATTAAAATGTAAATGTCCTAAAAAGGAAAGGGACTTTAAACTACAATGAGCTACCACTTTAGCTAATTTGCAACTAGCAAAGAACAAGGTCCTACCAGGAATTTAACATGATATAAAACTTGACAGGGGATTCCCCAGAATAGGGAGAGCTTTGTTGGTGATGGGAGGAACTTTTAAAGGGATGTAGGAAGAGGGAAGAAGTAACTTCTTGGTCATCCCTGTCCTTGATGATGTCTCTTGGAGCATCTCTGATTCCCAGAAGTTCCAGCCCCTGGAGGCTCCATCTTATACCTTGTACATCCTGAAACTGGACCCGATCTGCTTGACAGGAGACCAGCCCTACCAGAAAAGCTTCCTTCCTCCGTCACTGTTGATGGCTGCTGATGGATATATGCATCATAAAAGGCATTTTCATGGACACGATCTAGTTCCGTTTGGTAGCTTCAAGCCGTTTTCCTTAATGGAAAGGCTCTCATCATTACCCTGCTAAAGAGGGGGAGTTTTCTGGGCCATGCCCAGGCATCAAAAGCCCAGACTAGCACCCCCAGCATCCTGAGGCTTCAAAAGGCCTGACTGAGTGTGGGATGAGTCCGAATTCGGTAAATGATGACAGCGGTAGCTGGGCACAGCACCAAGGAAGTCATGATCACAATGGTGGCTAGGATAATGAGGACAATGACCCAGATGTCCAGGATGTGCTTAGGCAGCACTGCTTCTGGGGAGGTTTGGCTGATGGCATCCATGTTGCTTTACCCTGTGTAGATAGGAAAGGGTTACTGAGCATTGAATGTCTCCACTTCTTCTATACAGTTTTATCATATTAAACTTCCTCAAACACCACTTTTATCCCACCCACCCTCCTTCTTATCAGTAAGATGAGGATAATAATAGATCTACCTTTCAGGGTTGTTTTGAAGATAAAATGAACTATATATGTGAAGTACTTTACAAATATTAAAGCACTACATAAATGCTAGATTATTATTAATTATTCCTCCCCAATAGGATTATAAATCTAGCACTGGAAGAGACCTCAGATGCCATCTAGTCTAGATCCTTCATTTTACAGATGAGGAAACTAAACCCCACAGAGGTTGTTGTCTTACAGGTAAGCATAGCAGGATTTGAACTGCCATCCTCTGACTCTAGGACCAGGATTCCCTCCTACTGTCTCCTCATCCCCATCTAAACACCCTGTCTACTGCCTCAGATCCAAATTCCTCTGCCTGGTTTTCAAGGCTTTCAGTTCCAGGCTTATCTCCTGCTCCTCCCTTACATGATGAGCCTGTTTTTGTAACAAGTCTAGTCTCCTTCACAGTTCCGTGCTCATTCCCATTTGCATGCTTTTGTGGGGCATGATTCTCTAGCCTGGAATGCCCCATCTATGCTGGGTAACCTCATACCTAAGGACCTGTGATTTGATGATCCCCATTTTACTGGGGATATCTAAGGACGAACTGTGATTTCTACATTATTGTACCTAATCTCTTTTTAGGTTGGTGACAGGGAATTTCACAAAGTTATTCGGAGCATATCATCAATAGCTGTGAGCCACAGACTCCAGGAAAAACCATAGCTACTAAGAAATAGCCCAGTGGAAGAAGCCCTAGGTCAAGAGTCAGGATACCTGGGTTCTAGCCCCAGTTCTGTCACAAACACTTTTCAACCTTGGGAAAATCACAGGATTAGAAGATAGAAGTTTTTTAAATAGGCAAATTAAGAACCAGGGAAATAAAGGAATTTGCCCAAGATTAAACAAGTACAAGGGAGCATGTGTAAGACTAGCTTTCAGTTCAATGTTCTTTACATCACACCACACTAGCAATTCCCCTCTTTGGGCCTCAATTTGTAAATTTGTAAGACTAGCTTTCAGTTCAATGTTCTTTACATCACACCACACTAGCAATTCCCCTCAATTTGGGCCTCCTCTGTAAAATGAGGCTGACTAGATGAATTCTGAGGTTATCCCCAGTGCTAACATTCTGAGATTCTAAGTTGCACAGATGAATTTGGGGAACAACCAGAGGAAAACCTGGACTAGGGCCCTCAGGAGCCCTGCCTTGGGCACATTGACTGGGTACTATGCATAAGGGAGTAGGTTTGTTCTACCCTTCCAATTTTTTGGCTGGTTTGAAATAGTTATTTTTTTCTAAGGCCTCAACCACAGAAATATGTTGGGATTCACAGAGAGGAGGGAGAAAGGAAGGAGAGGAGATGGTATTTCTGGAAGCATTCTTTACAAGTTCCTGATTTACATAGATAGCTAGAAAGGCCTATGCTCAGTGGACCCCCAAGACCCCTGGCATTTTCTAAAAATGCCCCCAAGAAACGTGAAGTACAGCTGCAGAATAGGGCAGAATAGCAAGATGTGAGAACTCCATAGATAGAAGTTCTCTGAACTATGAGTGTCTCCAATGCTTCAATCATGGCAGTGGGTATAGTTTCAAAGTGCTTTGCTATAAAAGCTTATCTGATTTTAGGTCAGGGAGGACATCCCAGGAAGAATGATCCATTCTGACCCCTCTGGATTATCATATTCCCTCAAAATACTTATGGCAACACTTTGTGTGGTAACAAAGACCTGGAAACAAAGTAGAGGCCCATTGACTGGAGAATGGCTGAACAAATTGAGGTACATGAATATAATGGAATACTACTGTGATGTAAGAAGTAAAGAATGAGGAATACTGAAAGGCAGTGAAAGATTTACACAAACTGATGCAAAGTGAAGTAAGCAGACCAAGAAAACAACATATACAACATCTATAACAATGTAAATGCCAAAACAATAGAAAATCAATGTAAAATTACCAAAAATAAGCCAAGAAGAAATATGAGAAGATACATCATCCCCCACATACATAAACACACACACACATACACACACACACACACACACACACACGCACACACACACATACACACTCCTTTGCAATAGTGGGAGGTCCACAGATATGTAATATTACATATTTTTTAGATTTTTTTCAATGTATTAATTAGTTTTGCTGATTTTTCTCTTCTTTTTTTCTACTCTATAGGATAGATCCCTAAGAAGGAGAAAGGAATATAGTACTCTATAATTGGAATGGTCTGATTCTGCACTTTTTTCCTTTCTTTCTTTACCCAGACCAGACCCAGCTCCTTGGATCTTATCCTTCCACCTTTCCTTTTAATCTACCTTTATAATTTGCTTTTCATTGGAGTAGCTAGGTGGTGCAGTGGATAGTGTACTGGCCCTAAAGTCAGGATGACCTGAGTTCAAATCTGGCCTGAGATACTTTTGATACTCACTAGCTGTGTGACCCTGGGCAAGTCACTTAACCCTGTTTGCCTCAAAAGAAAAAATAACCCTTTCATTGCTGAGCTTTGTTTTTCTTGTCATTCAGTCATTTTTCAGTCTGACTTCGTGACCCCATGCTGGAGTGGTTTGCCATTTCCTTCTCCAACTCATTTCACAGATTGAAGAACTGAGGCAAAGACAGTTAAGGTGACTTGCCCAGGATCACATGGCTAACAAGTGTTTGAGGCCAGATTTGAACTCATAAAAATGAATCTTCCTTACTCCAAGCCCAGCATTTTATCACCGAGCCACCTTGCTGCACTGGTTTGTTTGTCCTGCGATTATTTCCTCAATAACTCCATTCTTTGTCTTAAACCCCATTTTCCTCTCTCTCTGTCCCTGGTTTTTTCTCTGTTTACTTTAATATATTTCTATACTATGTTCTGTGTGTCTGTATGTGCATGTGTGTGTACCCGTGTGCAAACAGTTGATAAGATGCCTGCTTCTCCAACCCCCATTCCTGCTGATGAAGCTCAATTATGAAAAAGTTAGCTCCTCCCTCTTGTTCCTCATTTCTTCGCTAATATATTGCTTTACCCTCACTTTTCTTTTTTCTTTTAAAACAAAACAGAACAAAGATACACCCACTCCCTGAGTTTGTCATTCTTTGCTGCTTTTTTGACCCTGTAAGACAGTAGGATTCCAAAGAGACACTTTTTCATCATTTAGCCCTTTAAAGGTTTTTCTCACCCTTGATAATGCATTTAAAAGTTTCTACTCATCTCTGGTTTTTTCACACACTTTTATTTTTTTTTTCTCCTTTGGTGAGGCAATCTGGGTTAAGTGACTTGCCCAGGGTCACACAGCCAGTGAATGTTATGTGTCTAAGGACAGATTTGAACTCAGGTCCTTTTGACTCCAGAGCCAGTGCTCTTCCCACTGTGCAATCTAGCTGCCCCTCTGGTTTTCGCAACAGGAATGTTTGGAAGTAATTTATTCTATTAGAGATTGTTTTTCTTTCTCTGTAGGGTTATATTCAGTGTATAGGATGAGATATTCTTAGTAGTAAGATTTTTTCTTTTGCTTTATGGTATTACTTTCCTTTCCTTTATAGTAATTTCTGTTTAATCTTGTGTGATCCTGACTGTGGCTTGTTAGTACCTGATTTCTTTCCACCTAGCAGAAGGCCATTTTCTTTTACCTAGAAACTCTGGAGTTTGGCTTCCTACTAGCATGACACAGCTCCCAAGGTATCTCTCCCAAGAAGAGGCAGTGTGGTGTGTCATAGTGAGATGATTGATCTTAGAAAATCTGGGTTCAAGTCCCAGCTCTACAGTTGCCTAGCATGTGATTCTAGATAAATCACTAAATATCTCTATGAACCTTATTTTAATCTGTAACATAGGAATAAGATAATTGCTAGCTCTCAGACTTGTTGTGAAGAACGTGCCTAAAGTGCTATAGAAATGTGAGTTATTATATTTATTCTGCTCCTTGAATAGACTCATGATTTCTTTATTAAATATTTTGTACAGCTAAACCTGCCTATTTAGAAAACAAAATAGAAAGCATGGATGCTAGCATGCAATCAAGTGAATTAACAGTCAATACAATGATGACAGGTATATTAGGGATGCTTTTTTACAAAGAAAGGCAGAAAGATAAAGAGAAACAAATATAAGTATGGAAGCAACAACAGGGGTACATTCATCATGTTCTGCTTATACAGAATAAGCCTGAAGCAACTCATATCTGAATTTGCCCTCATTCAAGAGAAAAGGAGAAGTAACTGAGGACCTGAGGCCCAAGATCCCACCACACACACACATACACACACACACACACACACACACACACACTATCCCCAACAATCAGCTTGTGCACTTTTAATAAATAAATAACTATTTGACAATCTAGCCACACAGGCTGGTCTCTTCTTGAAAGGACCCATGAGTTTTTAGTGATGCAATAGAGCTGAAGCAATCTACTTCCTCTAGAATTTCTAGTCCTCACCCACCTAGAGAATCATTTTCACGGTGTAAATTCTGCAGCTAGAGGAAAATCATAAGACAGAGCTCATAAAGAAAGTCACATTCCCTAACAGCCCTAAAAGCCTGCTCAAAAATCCTGAAAAATCAAAATGTTGTCACCAGCACTTCAGGCTCTAGAATAGAGTTGAAGACAATATAATAATTCAGGAGGCTCTAGAAGGGGTGGGCAGATTCTTGGTTGTGACTGCATTTAAACAGGACAACTGTAAACAGCAACTGGGTGATGCAGTAGATAGGGCTCTAGGCTTAGAGTCAGAAATACTCATCTTCTTGAGTTCACATCCAGCCTCAGACACTTACTAGCTGTGTGACCCTGGGCATGTCACTTAACCCTGGTTGCCTCAGTTTCCTCATCTGTAAAAATGAGCTGGAGAAGGAAATGGCAAACCACTCCAACATCTCTGTCAAGAAAACCCCAAACGG